GGCAGGTTTCTAGGTACATTTCATCTATCCATCTCACGTTCCTCAGCTTCTTTTGGTGGAACTCATTAGTTTCAAGGGTGCCAAAAGCTGCTTATTCAGTATAGCACAGCAGTTATTACGGCTACTAACCTTCTAACTTTAGGAATCACAGGAGAGTACCCTTTTTGTGTTCTGTAACACAAAGCCAAGCAGACTTCCAGAACAGTGTATTTACAGCATGTAGAAAAGGACTGATCTAAAAATAAAACAACCCCTTTTATGAAGGATTAGGTTATTTAGATCTCTCTTTCTTTCCTTCCTTTCTTTCACAGAACTTCCTTCCTCATCAGTTTCTTAGGATTCCTTCACTTTCACCTCACCTCCAATAACCCTGTATAAGTCACCATCTTTCCTCATCTACAGCATTTATGTTCCCATGCACTTTTTAAAACCTGAGATGACAACCAGGATTTTAGTAGATTACTATTGCTTCTAGTTCTCTTTTGACTTTATTTAGTCAGGAGGTTCAGATGACAGCTTCCTACAAGCTTTCACAGAATCACAGAACAGTTGAGGTTGGAAAGGACCCCTGGGGGTCATCTGGTCCAACCCCCTGCTCAGGGGGTTGTAGTTAAGGCCACCTGATATCAAACCTGCCTAATACCATGTGCCTCCTCCACAGTAAGTAAGTATCTCTTTTCATGTAAATGAAATTTCTCCCATCCCTGAAACTAGGAGATGCACAGTGGTGGAACTATTTTATTTTGCTTGGATGAGAAGTTGACTAACAGTTACATCCGAATTTCACATCCACATCCCATTGCTCCAGGACTGCGTAATTACAGTGATTTGAACACATATTTGGAAGCATACAATTTTAATGTTTTTTAATCCTTCTTTTATCCTTCCCTTTTACCCTTCTTTGTTAAACCTGCTACATTTGCCTCTTTTTAAAGCATTACAGCTTTTGGCTTTAGCACAGGAAGGTAATCATACCTTTTGGAAGAAGCAAAAATACAAACTGCCTACTTGGTGTTACCATCTGCTTGCCCTGACAAGAGAAAAGATATTCTTGACCTAATATAACAGTGTGCATTGACTAGAATCACAGGTACTTAAACAGGATTAAAATGTGATATGCCATAACAATAACAATGATCTAAGCCAGAAAATACTTGGATTGTTCAATACCTCGTTTCAAAAACATTGTTTTACTCTGCACTAGTGTGGCAGAGCCCGTTTCTTTAAAGCAGATATTGTCCTGCACTACATGTCCTAGCTATGCATAAGGACTGCCCTGCTCAGAACCTTCCACCTCCTGCCCAAAGACTTCCCTACAGGTGCCTGTTTATTGTCCGCACAACTGTGCAGACAGAGCTACTGACATTTTATAAAGGACTGTATTAATTAAGCATTGCAGTTGAAAGAACAAAGACTCTTAGCAATGCTTCCTACCTAGGGAACTAGAAAAATTCCCTATCACCTGCCAAATCAACATAACTTTCCTTGCCGGGAATAGAGTCCACACTTGGTTTCCTCTCCCAAAATCCAACAATGTCTCCCAACTTTGCAGCAGGATTCTCCATGTCTTTCACTACCAAGATAATGAAAGCACAGGATAGCAAGACAGAGCATGACTGACATCAATGCAAAACACAAACCTCAGCACTAAAGAACTGCACAGTTCTTACTATCACCATTGTGTCATGCTTTAGGAAGCTTACATTTTTAAAGAAAACTGAAGGATTTTAGACAAACACTTAATTAGTTAACTTTGTTAGGAAATAAAAATGAAACTATTATTCCATTATTGCTTTTGAAGGGAAAATATAAAATTACGCATGGAATCTCCTATTCAAAAGTAAAAAGTAGTTTCTGATAGTAAAGTTGAAAGAAAGAAAACTGTAAGAAAGTCATAATATTCCCAACCCCATTCCCTCTCTGGATCTGTCTGCTCAAACAAGATCAGGAGCAGACAATGAAATTCTTCACTCCTCCCATTCTAAGAAAGCAATGAAAACTGTCGAACTCATGAGCCATAATGTCCCCTAATCTACAGGGGCTGGGAATATAAATGATATTTGCCTAAGCTGGTCCAGCAGAGCATGCTTTTCTGATTGTCATATCCCATTAAGAGAAACAATATGCTTAAAATGGAGCTTGTCAATTTTTGACTAATAAATGTGATCTGGTCAAATTTTTAACTGACTCAATCTGTAACAGTAATATTTGAAATCTACAGTATGTCTGTGCATTAGCTATTTTCCTCTTAAAATGATAAAGAGTAAAACAGATTGCCAAACACAGCCAAACCCCAAAAAGCACTCATCAGTGACTCAATTCAGCTAGTTTGGACTATTATGATACAGAATTTGATACTGCCAGCTTTTATACCCCAGACAGATACTAACCTGATAAACGGCAAATAGGCCTTAAAGAGCTTGCCTGCGCTGGGGCATGTCAATATCCAAGAACTACACACACAGGCTCGAGTTGAGGGAGTTTTAATGCAGACCTTGCTGGCTTGGCAAAGGTGGCTAAGCACTCACCTCCTGCTCACTTCATAGAGCTGCCACTACTGAACCTGAACTGCTGCGATTCCACAGACCAGTTCAACAACACTGATGACGTGCAAACAGACTAGTCAATTAGGTATTGCATCACGTAGCCATGTTCGGTCTGGTGTTCAGCCTGTAGCTGGCATGCACAACAGCACTTTAATTTTATTTTCCTTTCTGAAAATTAAAAAGCAATACAACAAAACACCATTCAAAACTACTTCTGGTGCTACTGCAGTTCAAGCTTTAGGACATCACCAATGTTCAAGTATTTATTCTAAAGCAGAAATTCAAGCTTGCTGTGCTGGAACTACAAGAAATAAATAAAATAAAAACAAATCGGATCCTCTTCCAGCATCTCAAGAACAAAACAGCTAACAAAGAGCTCAGATAACTTCAAGGAATGACGGACTCGCTACTTGTTTGCTTTCTTCCAGCCCCTGTATATGCTTTCCTTTCTCTGTATGGTGAGTAGACTTAACTGGTAAAGTTTTTGGCATGCTAACTGGAGAACATACTAATCCAATTATGATGCCACAGGATTTTCTTAAGATTCCTGAGAGTTGTATTGGTCATGGATAGATGACCAAGAATTGCGACTCTTTTTTTTCCCCTCTTATTTTACTGAGAAAGCATGGAAATGGCATTTCAATTGTGACATTTGTTTTGCTTTATTCTTCCAGTGAAGAGCGATGACAAAGGTCACTCTTTCAATGAGTATTTGAAGAGACAGGAAGTTTTTGCTTTCGGTTATTAACTTAAATAGAGTTGTGAGAGTATACACTGCATTTATACTGTTGTCCAGCAAGTCATTTTGTCTTCATTTTGTTTTAAGCCATAAAAGCTTAAGATCATTCCTCCTGCAACATTTCAAAATTCACCCCAAGTTATCATTAGTTTATCCAATTCTTGCTTCATCTCCTTTACATCCCCAGTCCAGCATCTCATATTTTTTAAGGTATCTCTAAATTAATCACCAAATCATGGAAAAGTTTTTGGTTGATTTCACATTTATTTTATTACCACAGAGTCAGTATTTCACTCTGCAATCATTTCACATTTCCTCTGTTTTGACTGTGTAACAGCCTTATGGTAGATCACATGATGGAGAAAGTCCTCAGGCACTATGTTACTATTATAAAGTGCACTTTCTTGCATATCTTTTTTTGAGTGAGACCCCCTTGATGCAGCAAGTGCTATAGTCTCTCCCTTCCTCTTGCATGTTCTGGAGTGGCTGGTCCTAACTCCCAGTATCTTTACTGGTGCATTATGTAAAGATCTTCAGGTTCCCTTTGTCATCAAATTCTCCAGGTGTGATTCAGCATTGCTTTGAAAAGGGAAGTTTCCAAATCAAAGCTTAAAGGATATACAGCTGAAAGCCTAAAAAGGAGGAGGCATTAGAAGATCTACAAATCATACTTCTTCATTAATGCAAATCAGCTACACCTGGCATATAAAGTCATTGGGTAGAAGACTGCAGTGGTTGACATATTAGATACCTGAGAAGAAGCATCAAGTGCAAACTGATTATAAACCTCACAGTGTGCACAACATAACCAATACATTTGAAAGGCTGACTCATGTAATGCTGAGTTTAAACTGTGTTTCAAGACATCATGAGAGAACATGGGGGAAGTCTGCTCCTTGTTCTGGTAATTATCATTCCCTACAAACAAGAGGCATATGTTTCATTCTGAAAAAAGTACTTCTGGCCCCATTTTGAGAAGTAGTCAAGTGCTTCTCTGCTCAGTTTTGCAAGGTCTACATAACTTTTAGCAGCTAAGTCCCATTATCAAAAGCTACTTAGGGACAATTCTGAAAAGCATTTGATTCTATAAAATGCTTTTGGAAGTCAGACAAGGTAGATCATTCCATCTATGAATATGGACTCTGATCACATTTGAAAATGGGACTTTATACCAGTTTGTTTTAAAAAGTGGTAGGGTATCCCTTTTCACGGCACAGGGGCTTTCTCTCGGAAAGCTTAAGTCACGATGAGGCATCAATGACAGTGTAATAACTGTTAGAGAACTAAATTACAGCATTTCCCTATCTTACAAATGGTGATGACTGAAAGGTAGCAAGAACTTTACTATGGTTCTTGTAGATGAAAAGAGTACCTGCTGCTTAATTACCATTAGAGTCAACGCCCACACATGCAGACAGTACTCGTGTGGGTGATGGGAGAAGTGGACGGTCCACACTGGGAAAATGAGGCCTATCGCACCTCACAGCAGCAGGCAACCCCGGCACACTTGCCCTCAGGAGCTCCATGGTTGCTCACTTTTAGGAAGGCAACCTCTCTCAGCTTTGATCAGGGTAGCAAGAGGAAAGCCCACCCCAGTGAGAGCCTGTAGCCCACCACCAGGCTCCATCCATCTCTTTACCAGACCTCAACATGCCCGGGCTGAACCACCCACGGCCTGTGCCCCGCTTGCCCGTGGCCCACTGGAGCCCCCTCACCTTCCACCAGCTCATCCAGGCTGGTGAGCTTCTTGCTGCCATCGATGGTGTAGATGGTGCGGACACCCTGGGGCAGGTTCACGTTGTCCGACAGGGATCGGGTGAGCTCGACGAGGAGGGCGTCGAAGGAGCGGAAGCGGTCGGTGGAGATGGCATACACCAAGCCCTTGAAGTACCTGTCCCCGTTGCGGTAGAAGCGGGCTTTCCGGGCTTTCTTCTCCGAGCTGAGCGCCTGCAGGGTCCGCGTCCGGTAGAGGCTGCAGTGGGCGCTGTGCGCCGGGCTGGGGATCAGCCCGTTGCCCCGCGGCCCAGCGCCG